ACGATTGATTAATGCATTGAGTTTGTCGTAACATGATGAGAAACGCGCTACATATACCATGCGATTTTATATTGCAGCCTGCATAAAGGCTGTGGTGTTGAGACAATACGCCTATTATTACATGTGCGTTTGTTATTTATATTTAAACAATATTTTGCATAATAAAATTCGTTGTGTATAAAAATATTCGAGTTGTTATTATGAATTGAGGTGACTATAACTGGATTACAGCTGTAGATATGACATTCGTATGAGTCAATATTATTGCAAATCTCTGTCTACATTGTGTAGTTCTCTGACACCTCTCCCCCTATAAACACACATTCGACGATGCGTGTTTCAGCAACGCTAACAACTCACACAACACACACAGCACACGACAACACACACAAACACCACACAACACACAATAAACGCGCCTGTCCTCTCTTCTCACGCGCGCACACGGCGCAACAAGCAGCCAGCACACACACCGAACACACACACCCGACAGCAGGGCACTTACACGCACAGCCACACACTCACACACATATCCCCCCTGTCTTTCTCTCACGCGCGCACACACACACACACACACACACACGCACACATCCCCCTTCTGTCTCTCTCTCTCTCTCTCACGCGCGCGCACACAATCTCACACACATACACACGTGTACACACATAGACATGCCTAGCTGCGTAATACAATCAGGAGTGTTACTGTATAATATAGAGATTATAAACTACTATCTTCACTTCTGTCTATACTCTCGTATACACTACTCTCTATATTATACAATCATGATATTATTACAGACCTGTGTGAAGCGACACTTTACCTGTGATCTTTGCCTCGATGACGTCAGTATGTTCGTCGACAGTACGAAACAAGACATCTCTCGGGTCGACTTTCTCTGTCCCTTCCTCCATGCCTGTGTCCCTCCCAGCTACCTTCTCTCTCGCCTTCTCCATGTCTGTGTCCCCTCCAGTCGATCGTTATGTACGCTCCTTACAAACAAAGCACGGTTGTATAGTACTCATTGCTTTGCCAAAGTTACCCACGTCTGGCTCGGATGTGCGCGGTTAGCACCAACAGATCAGCGCATTTATTCAGCTATGTACGTAGTCCGAGCTCGGTTATATAGGGGCGCAGTCTCGATGAGTGCGTGAATACTTTGACCTGCATAGTTTATGCTTATGTGTGATGATTGCGTTTAATTTGATAGTGAGAATATATGTTCAAGTTAAGTGTCTTGATAACAATTACTAAGTGCCAGTTTAGTTTTCTTAACTGTTTAGTTTTAGTAACTTAGTTCAGTTAACAATTAAGTGTCGAGTTAAGTGTCTTGATAACAACAGGAGCTAATAATGACAAATTATTGTTATAATATCATAATGTCATATTGTCATAATGACAAATTATGTCATTATTAGCTCCTGATAACAACTAACCGCACGCGTTCGGCTACCGATCGAATATCATATATGAATACACTACCGTGTGCGTGAGAGTGTGTGTGCGTGTATGTGTAGTGTGTGTGTGTGTGTGTGCGCGTGTGCGTGTGTATGTGCGCGCGTATGTGTGCGTGTGTACGCGCGTGTGTGTATGTGTGCGGGCGTATGTGTGTGTATCCTATGAATACACGGTGCATAGACCGAGAGTTATACTTTATGTTTTATATTTTCATTTCAAACAAATGCGAATCCTTTTCTTCGGTAAAATAGTTTCAATATACGGCGTATTCTCTCACCAACACAATCTATTTGCAGGCTGCAATATAAATCGCATGGTATATGTAGCGCGTTGCTGACCCTGTTACAAAATCATTGTATTAACCTATCAACTATCGCTATCATTACAATATATATATATATATATATGTATATATCAGATTCTATAAAGATGAAAGCGCTTGTGTAAAACTAAATTTCGGATTATTCAATTTTTTTTTAAACTATAACCGAATATCGTGCAACTTAGGAACATTGCTACTATATACATATATATATATATATATATATATATATATATATATATATACATATACGTGTGAAGAAGATGCCTGCCTTGACACCATCTACGGGGCACAGCTCCACTGTGCTACCAAACGTGGATTTGATTAGCTGGTTAGATGATTTGATGATTAGATGATGCCATTTTACATAGAAGTTATGTTGAGTAGGCAACATGTATTATGGTTGTGTGTATGCGTGCGTGTTCAGGGCCGTCGCCAGGGATTTACCAATGTTGAAGCACAGTCATGAAGGCACGAAGCACCGTAAAAAGGGAGTGTGTGAGGGGGCCCCTCCCCCTGGGGGGGCCCGGGGGCCTCCCCAAAAATATTTTGAAATGCTCTAGGAAAATGGCGTAAGCTGGCGTTTTAAAATAAAATTTTAATATTTGAAACAGTAAAAATTACATTGCAACTATTTAATTTCACAATTTAAGAAAATAAACTGGAAATGACGTTGAAGCCTGAGCTTCCGGGCCTCCGCCTGGCGAGATGCCTGGTGTTTGTGCGAGTGCACGTTGAGCGTGATAGAGAGAGAATACACGTGTGTGCGTGCGTGATCAATGCATGCGTAATATATATTCGGTGCATAAAAAATCCATAAAGGGGCGTTTATTTCAGCAACTTTCTGCATTCTGCATACCTCCCAAATCCCATTGGTTGATACAAATCGCGTGCCTGAAACCAGTTTTATGGTGCATTGTGACACTAAACCTAACCGTATTTAAAAAAAAATTGTTGTAAAAAGTATTTGTTGTTATTAAATTGTTGTAAATAAATCATGTAAATATTTGCGTTAATTCCTAAAAAATAGTTAAATGGATAAAGATATAAAATTACAGAAAACAGGTAAATAATAAAAAATCTGATGGGATTCGATCCAACGACCTTTGAGCCGTGAGTCCCCGTGACGCCTGTGCTCTAGCCGTTGGGCTATCCAGGCTTTCTAGATTATGGATGTGCCATGAATATGAGCACCGTGAAATCATTGAGGCAGTTCAGGAATCCATGTTTAACCCTCCTATTGAGGGTCAAAAGGTTATCAGACACTTACTCTTCGCACGTCAGTGAAAAGCACATTTCATGGTCCTTTCAATAAAGTGATAAAAATGCTAGGTCAGCGCTGAAACAAAAAAGTTTTCCACTCTGTCCATTAGGCCATATCCTCAAAAAATGCCTGATATCTGACCTTTCCCCCACTGCCCTTTGACCAGTGACCGCAATTTCGCAATGGTGATGGGTTTCCGGCCCATCACACTATACACCGAATATTAAGAGCATAGGTCGAGCCGTTAAGATTTGTGCCGCAATTCCGTATTTCCTCCTAAACCTTAAGTTAAGGGGAAAATATTCCCCCTCCATTTACACATCTTGACCTTTGACCCCTGACCCCCAAATTTGGCATCCTGATTCCGTTTCACGATCCCCCCCCCCCCCCCACCGACGTCCCGAATATCGTGACCGTACGTCGAGCAGTTAAGATTTGTGCCCAACTGTTGACGAACGCACGCACGCACGCACGCACGCACGGACAACCATGTGATTCTACAAGCTGCATCTGACTACGTCAGATGAGCGAAAAATTCAGTGTTGACCTTTATTTTTTGTAAAGTCCATGATACAGTTCTGACACCATTAGCGTGCATAGTACGGCATAAATAAACCAATGGACGAGAAAAGTAACTCAAACTCCAAACTCAATGCTTTTATATTTACCTATGTCTCACGTGTTGTGCGTTTTTACACACTAAATAAGTGCTAAAATCCGAACTGCTATTCCTATCAGGATCAACTACGATGAACAATAATGATATCATAAAGTGTTTTATGGTTTGTTACTACATATACGACATACAATATGACACAATAAACACAAAATTACACAAGGTGTTGTATCGCGGGCAATGAACCTTCACGACTATATACGACATACATCCCATAATACCAATCCATGAAGATATGTATATAGAAGAACATCTTCTATCTAACATATGATAGGATTCCATACATAATAAGTATACACATATGAGCCAAATTCTGACTGATTAAATACGGTGAAAAAAAGTGATAAAGCTAATATTTAGTCTGTTACCAGTAAATATAGGTGAAATTGGTTCATTTATCTACGTGATCTTCTATAATTAAAACATCCCACAGTCGTCACGGATATTTATAAACAATGGCGTCACCTTGGAAATATTTCACCCAATTTTTATATGGCTTCACAGAGCAACAAAAAATTAAGCACAAAACACCGATATCGTACACCACACTTTATACGCGTAAACAATGTGCTTTAAAGTTAAATAAATAAACTATATAATAATGTACAATCACTGGGGTTGTGAAACAGAGAATTTTAATAACAAGGAAGCATAGCACACAGACACTCTTGCAGTCAGATGCACCTAAATTGTATTATTTTTGGAAGCATATAGTACGCATAGGCACAACTTGATTGGATATCTTTCACCCTTACAACAATAAAATTTTACGTCCACGCGTTAGAGTGGTTTAAGTACTGTGCCAAACAATCCTAATAAAACGTGTTTACGGTGGCAAACATTTCATAAACACTACTAATTCGTCTGGCTCAACTTTCACAACCTGCACCAGTTCGCGCTTATTTTACGGTAACCGCAAAAGAGATGCAGTAAAAATACATGTCAGCACCGACACATCTGAGCAACTAACTCGTTGAAATTCATGTTGGTGCGATGACGCAGCCTCACCTAAGCAAACCAGTGAATGAGATGACTAGCTTTGTAGCGGCTGAAGGAAGAAAGTACATTTGGCCCCCTATAGATTAATTAATGACTTAACCTACAGGCCTAAGTGAAGCAATATCATACGTGGAACAGTCGGTAGTACATGGCATTAGGAATGATTTCAGATCAATCTCAAAAAGCTCTACATTTCATCCATTGCAGGAGGAGTCCGTCATATCTCCAATGGCTCCATCTCTCTTAGGTTCACCAGAGTGGCTGCACTCGACTCTGGCACACTTTTCATGAAGCCATGTTCATGCAAAACTTGCTTGTACTCGATGCGATATCTGTCGATCGCAGGACCCCACTCCGGCGTGGGACGAAGTGCCATTCTTACACGCTGTAAAGAAATATCAACATGCACACTGTGACGGCAGCAAGTTGAGCAACACAGACATAGGGCATGAAATTAGCCAAAATGTGAACAGGCCCACCCAAAATTTTAAACAGGCCCTTACAAGTTTGAACATGCCCATAATTTTGTTCAAATTATTCCATTATTAATAAAAGTATTAGCTTTGTGTTTATTAGGCATACTCATAGTATTTATTTGCAGTTTGTATTAAGAAGTAGAGTAATTTAGCACATCATGCACATTTTAGCAAAATTATCAAGTGTTAGACACTTAGTAAAGCAAAAACTAGTCATGAAATTGGTAAATATTGTTGATATAAAGGCAAGATAGGCAAAATATCAAGGCCAAGTGGACTGATTATATGAGGGGTTGAACCGGCGGCTGCCGGAAAAATAGCGCTAATTTCGCGCACTGCAGACATGCATGCTCATGATTCCAGTCCCAAGCTTCACAAGTTCCTCGACCAAAGTGCGTCGCACAGCACACACTCACTATTACCACACACAGCCGCCCAAAACACACCACTCCATCCTAAACCGGACATTTACAGGTTTCGTCACGTTACTTACAAATGGCCATGAGTACCTAACTAAACTTGATTGGTTTTTTAAGTCTGAACCGATTCCACTGGGCACAGATCCACTAAACGCAGTATGAACGTCACTTACCTCCCATAGGGAGTTGCCTGGTGCAGTATACACTGCGCACACTGCCGATATGGGTATTGGAACCAGTGATGATAACGCCATCATCCAGCCAATTACTATTGCCCATTGCGGATAGGAGTAGTTGTTGTAAGAGATAGGCGTGTGCATCACCAAGGTAAAAACCAGCAAACACTGCAAACAACAACAACATATATATATATATATATATAGAGAGAGAGAGAGAGAGAGAGAGAGAGAGAGAGAGAGAGAGAGAGAGAGAGAGAGAGAGAGAGAGAGAGAGAGAGAGAGAGAGAGAGAGAGAGAGAGAGAGAGAGGGAGAGGGAGAGAGAGAGAGAGAGAGAGAGAGAGAGAGAGAGAGAGAGAGAGAGAGAAAGAGAATAGAGAGAGGGGAGAGAGCGGCAGAGGGAGAGAGAGAGGGAAGGTGGGAGAGAGGTAGCGAGAAAAGAGAGAGGGTAGAGGGCGAGAGAGATGGGAGTGAGAGGGGAAAGAGAGAGAGAGAGGGAGAAGGGGAGAGAGAGGGAAGAGAGAGATGGGAGTGAGAGGGGAAGAAAGAGGGGAGGGGCATAGAGAGGGAGAGAGAGAGAGAGAGAGAGAGAGAAAAGAGAGAAGAGAACAGACACAGATACTTTGGTTGTAGTTGCCTACTCACAGCGCTTCTATGATTACTGCATTGGAAATTATCACAAATTCTAACTACAATTTGAAAAGAAGTTAATATTATAATGCAAAAAGAATTGGGAAAATGGCACAGGACTTCACTTTTTCTGTCTATACAATATTAGATAAAAGATGATATCAACGATGATAAGGAATTTTAAGTATAAATTTATGTATGTGCAATACAGATGAACATGCTTCCTCTTTACATGTTACAGATGCACGTTACATGTTACATGTTATAGATGCACGTTACATGTTACATGTTACAGATGCACATTACATGTTACATGTTACAGATGCACTCCTTCTTCTTCCCAAGACAACAAACAGTAAGATAAGTAGTGACACTTACAAACACTCCATCTGAGAGACGATGTAACCAAACGATACATTACGTATGCGCAGAAACCAATGAACACAGCCTCACAGCTGATGCACGACTCCGCTCTCTTCTCCTTCCCTCTACTAGTACTATACTTAATTATCAAGGTTAGCTGAGATACTTACAAAGACCACAATGGGACTGATGTAACACCATGTCAGCTTCCACCACCAGCCTGGCCTATGATCAATCATCACACTGATATCCGTGAGAAATCGATCCGCTCCTAAAATGAATGCCGATAACTTTCGAATATGCCTCTCACTATTATAATAATATTTCAGAGATACTGAGCAGTTCCGTAGCTAAAGAGATTTAATCAGATGTTATTAATAATATTGTATTCAATAAATACATAACAAAACAATATTGAATAATAACAATATACAATATTTATGTAATGATACACATTTTATATAATGAATTTTTATGAATTAGTACAAAATTTAACCATATTAAGCTGACTATGGGAATGAAATGTTTTGACGTACCGTAAACCCAGCCAATAACAATGCACTCAATGAGTGAGATGAACATGAGAGCGAAAGCCGCACAGTACCAGTCCATTAGTTGTAGCACGTACATGCCGCCCTGCAACCAGACACCGACAACAATATACAGCACGTGCCGAAACTGGGCGTCAGCCTAGTTTTAGCGTGCGTACGAATGCCGCGCATATTCTACCGAGCCATAAAGCAATTTAATGAGCTATGCATGGTAAATGTTGACGGCTGCAAGTAAAAATAACGTTGGCTTCGTCTCTCTAACGTTTGTCCCTCTCTTCCTTCTTCTCTCCTTCCCCTGCCACCACTCTTTCTCTCGCTGGCTCGCCTGAACCCTGCTCCCTTTTGTGACTTAAAACAACTTTTGACCAATTATTTAATTACATAGTCGTTATCATCGCGTGTGCAGCGTGGACGGGGGAGGCACATGCCAGCAACCCATATAATTGACCCACACAGCATGTTCACTACACACCACAGCAGTTACGTTCATTAGTCCACAATTAAAAAAATCTTTGTTTGCCCTCACCCAACCCAGGCTGAAAAGTTTGGGTAGGTAGGTCCGCTTTTTACAAATTCAGCATGGTGTCTACATGCTCGGGTGTGCTTGTGTGGAGATACCTTTTATGTTGAATGTTTGTTTTGCTTGGTACATGATATAATGTATTGCCTACAGATTTATATAATGTACAGTGATACAATTTGTTAAAAAAAAAAGGATAAATAAAATGTTTTGAGTCCCTTTTTGGCGGGTCGGCCGGGTGAGGGCAAACAAACAATATTTTTATCATGGCCCCACTACATACCGCAGCAGTTATATTCATTAGATATGGCAGCACTTACGTTCATTATGCAGGGGATGCCAAACAAAAACTCAATGAAGCACATGAATCCGGTGAAGAGCATCTTACGGTTCCTCAGCAGCTGAGGAAACTCATCAATCAGCGAACTAGTCATCGTCTCAAACATCCCAAACTAAAACACAACAACAAAAACTAGCTGCCTAAGAAGAAAAGATGTTTGTTTCCGCTGAGCTGAAAAAAATTGGACACGGTAGGCATGGAAAACTTTTTTTTATCAAATATTTTTTTAATTTTTTTTATTCAAACAATACTTGTTTTATACTTATAACAGCCCATATAATGACTTCAAAGTCACATCAATGCTTTAACCGATCGATATCACGTTGGGATTTTGTTATTTTTTTAAATTATTTTTCTAATTTAAATTGTTTGTTGTTGTTGCCGATGAATCGTGCACCGGGGAGAAATACACATTTTCCGGAAATAGCCGAACGATAGTAGGGCGCAACTTCGGGATTGCTCGGGTCCATAATATACATGTGTACACATGTATACACATACGCATTGTGAACCCTAACCCTAACTCTAACCCTAACTCTAACCCTAAACAGAAAAAATAAATAAATAAACAGTTGGGATTTGAACCAACAACCTTTCAGACGTGACGCCCGTGCTCTACGAGTTCGGCTATTCTGGATTACTGACAATAGCACATGACATATGTCATGATATGATAAATAAGAAAATATGTAAAATGTGTATTTCTCCCTGGTGCATAAATCGCCGATCACAATAAAGAGTTTCGATACAGGGGTTTAAAATGGACTCGGTCGGGTTAGCGGACACAAACGTCTTTTTCTAGGCCTAAATACTGCGCCACCCCTGCTGGAAGAATAAATGACGATTCGGCAGAGGTTTACAGTACACACGTAGGATTTGGTAACTGTGCCTACATGATATGTGCTTGCACGCATCTTAATTTCACTAAAAAGCAGCACTTGTGCTGCATTTATACAGAATAAATCAGATTGAACTAATCAATTCTATTTCAGAATTCTGCTAACAGATTGTAGTATTCTTCAGTACTGTTGCCACTATATTCTGTTACTCAACCCCGATAAAGAACATTTTATCGCAACATCATCAGAGAAACACTCAATGCATACAACTGAGAGGGCTAATTATATCTCTAGGGTTATATGAATTAGTAATTTATTCACTTTATTTTATTTATTTATTTATTTTGATGATGATAAATTGATAAAAGAGATATCAGCACGAGTTTGAAAGCATCCCGTTGACTTTGCCATACCTGTGTGTCCATTCCGACCAGCAACAGCATAAAAAAGAAGAGGCAAGCCCACAGTGGAGACAGGGGAAGCGTTGCTATGGCTGCCGGATAGACTACGAATGCGAGACCAGGACCTGCAAAGATACAATGAGCTCTGTCACACAAATATTCACCACAATTTAAAAGATATACAATCAAAATTTATATACAAAAGAGATATGACAAAGAGATTACTTAATCACCAAGCTCTTTATTCTGTAAACGTATATAAAATACAATGTTCAATTTAAATGAAAGAACAATTAAACTTTTGTTGAGTATTGTTGGGCAGAAATTGGCATTTTATTCACTCCACACAATGCAAACCCTGTGCAAAAATACAATCCTGAAATACTTCAGCAGAATATTTTCCTGAACCCAACTGAAATGTGAATGTATTTGCCTTTGAAATAGACTCAGGTAGCTATCGACCTCCTAATTATTCAAAGGGGGAAATTAATTTAAACACATTAGTTAGGGAAAAGTACCCATGAAAATTAAATTGTGTAAAAGAGTTTAAAGATCGCACCACCTGAAGAGGCTGGTTAGAATACAACGATGGCATTCATTTTTCTCGCGCACTGAGATTCCAACACCAATGGAAAACTTCATGGTACCTAGCTGTCAGTCTTTCCTACATAAAAGTATGTGGCTAGGTTCACTTCTCTGCCTCCAATTTGGGGTGATGCTCCATTAGTAGCGTTCCCAACTTTAATGTCATTAATGTCGTGATATAAAAGAGATATAAAGGGGGGTGGATTGATATCAATTAGATATCAAGGGGGTTAGATATGAAATAGATATCAAGGGGAGTGCATCGATATCAATTAGATATCAAGGGGGGGTTAGATATGAAATAGATATCAAGGCGGGGGTTATATAGGCTATATAGAGGGAGCAAGCAACATTCAGACTGGGGTATATTACGATATTAATGACATTAAAGTTGGGAACGCTCCTAATGGAGCGTTAGCCCCAATTTGACACCTACTAGGTGTCACTGTATAAGTACTTTAACCTGTACTGAGATCATCCACCTTATGGCAGCTTCCTCCCCCTATCCAATAGTGGTCAGGGCTCAGAGGGTGTTTATATAGTGAGAAAGAAAACACGCTGGCTGGCCACGTTTGTATACATTGCACTTTGCTGACATCTGGTCAGTCATACATCAAGCACGTGTCGTTCACACATCCGCCCAGTGTGCACAGTTGTTTGCAGGAATATTAATACATGGCCCCCCAGCTCTGGCTGCTTCTACAATCGATGCATTGCATGGGCCTCGCACGTACTTAACAAACACATTTGCATGTGGGACTTGGTGGTATAAGATAAAACAGTTTTATTTATCGCTTTCAACATTAGTAAGTACAAGAATTTTAACAAAGAGAATAATAAACAATACAGCGAAGGGACGACGAAAAGACCATACAGTGATCTGGTCAGCCATCCCTTGGAAAATTTATAAAGTACACGGGCAACTGTCATTAGAGTAGAAAAAATTATAAAGTGAACGTGTTAATTCTCATATAAGATTCGCACGTAATACTGTAAACATAATTTAGTATAAGTGTACGTTATGAGAGTAACCGAACAAAGTGGGGAGGTTAATTCAGCACACCGATTTGTTTTCTAAATGGACATGCAAATCGTAGTTAAAATTTTCTGTCACGTTTAAATAATTGCATTCATAGCGATACACAGTATGTGTGATTCATACTGGCTGTGAATCGACTTGCAAACTGCAATGTGAATTCCGTACTAAAGTTAAAGGTTGGGGCTAGGATCGTAATGACAATGATGACAACGCTGACGTAGTGATAGGGGTCCTAAAGAAGCAGGATTGAAGACACGTGTATCTTGTGTGAATGGAAGAATGCATAAAGGGAGGAAAGGAAATGTGTACCTTGTGTAAAGGGAAATGTGTGTATGCACCTTGCACAAAGAGCAGAAACATGCATGTAGTATGTGTGAAAGTAAGAAGTATGTGCACCTGTGTGCCTTGTATGAAGGGAAGAACTATGCATGTGCCCTGCATGAAGGGAAAGATGTGCTTGTACCTTAAGGGAAAGACAGAAGTATGCGCACGTGTGTACCTTGTACATAGGGAAGAACTGTGTGTGTGTGCACATGTGTGTGCGTGCGTGCGTGCGTGTCCTATAGGAAGGGAAGCATGCGCATGTACCTTGCTTGACGACATCCTCAATGGGTAGACCTGTCATGGCCGACAAGTAACCCAAGATGGCGAACACGACGAGACCAGCGTATACGCTCGTGCCGCAGTTGATAAGTGGTACGAGCAGAGCATCCCTGCAAGGTAATGTAAATGTAATAGTAACAAGAGCAATCAGAGATAGCAAACCTCCGCCACAGCGTAACAGTACAGTACAGTAATCTTGCTGGTACATCCAATATAGTTTGATGCAATTTTCAGAAATTTGAAAAAAAAAGATCAAGGATTTTTTTAATGAATTTTGAAGTCTGAAGTCTCTCCCACAAAAAAAATCCTGGATCCAGATCTGGATCACCACCAAAATCTCATCGATTGGTTCTTGGCCTAAGACCAACTCGTCATCAAAAATGTCCGTAGGTTTTTGAGATATCCGGTTGACAGACAAACAAACTAACAAACAAACTAACAGGGGCGAAAACATAACCTCCTTGGCGGAGGTAACAAACTAACAGAGGCGAAAACATAACCTCCTTCGCGGAGGTAATTAATAATAAAAGGCTCAACTTGTTATCTGGCTGAGTAACGTACATGACTACGTCTAAACGCATAATGGATTTCAGTTCCACTCGTGTTTAGAGTTACTGATGAAGGGCACACCCAAAATTTTAATAAAATCTGCAAATCCTCTCTCGTTATACAATTCGGCCCATGCTCCTCAGCATAAGTGATTCTTATTAGCTAACAGACGGCGAATCCTCATAGCCATCATGAGGTTGCGCGTGGTTGACAAAAAGCTAACAATCCAGGCGTGTTGAATTTTTTATACCTGGAGTTGGCAGTCACCTCAATGCAAGATTAGAAAGTCAAGTTACGAATAGCGCTCAACAATAGTAATGATAGTGTAAACACACACCCTGCTGATTTGCCGGCCAGATTATACATATGCTCAGCTTGACATAAGAATGTCACGACGTGATTCAATGCTGACAATTGCAAATACCATGAGATTAGTAGTTGTCAGAAAAAATATTGACAAAAACGCAAATGTTTGCACTTTTAGAGAGAGAAACGTTGTAGCGATGTACTTCCTTTCGGGCTCTACACTATTCCAGCAGCGCAGACTGTGAATACCACTTACCAGCTGATACAAATAACGCTGTATAGATAGAAATTTACCAGCTGATGAAACTCATCTCATTGAATGGCATGCCATGGCTCATGAACAGTGTTGAGGCATAGCGAAGCTCCGATAACAGCAAATACATCCATACAGAAACATGTGAGAAACAAACCTGTAGCAGTTGTTATGGAACTTGTTGAAGGAAGCAAATGTGATCAAGCCACCCCAGGCCGGTCCCAGAGAGTAGAAAATCTGCGTTGCTGCGTCACCCCACACCTTCAAAGACGTCATAAAACATTCACTCAAACCGGATTAATGGCAGCCAATAACCGTACATAAATGTTCTTTAAAATTATTTAATAATAAAATACATTAATTGTTCTTCATTTTTATTAAAATGGTTAAAAGATAAACTACAAGTAAAGCTGTTAACCACAGCAATGATACTCACTAAGAGAAGTATTATAGATCGGCTATAAATACCTATGATAATCAGCATACGCTACGCCTACCTACTACTTTACTACTTACTGAACAGATTTTAGTTCAATCAGTTTAATTTTTACTTTATATGAAGTGAGATTGACAATAACAACTAATTTACTGCCAGTGCATATTGCAATCATAATATGCACAATTCTTCACTAATTACATATGCATTGGTAATGTTTATCAGTAATTAAGTGTACAGGGATAAAAATGCCAACTCAATGCTCATGTGATACCTCTGACACCCTGGATGATTCTTAGACAGAGGTTTTATAGAGGATCTTCAATTTCATAACTGAATTGCAACCGGCACTCAACAAAAATTAATATGTTTGCCCCTCCCACCTTAGCTTTATCTACCATCTATCGCTGTCGAAGAATCATCCCACTGACCCTTCACAAATTTATGTACCAACGCATCTAGCATGTGCAGGTATGAATTTGTGATTTATTAAAAGAGCAAATCACGATGAGGGGATGCCAACTAAGTATTGCTGACTAACACCTCAAGGTGTGTGCAAGGACGTGCACTGTGAACGACGCTGCAGATTCGCATATGCATTGAACTGCTTTAAAACGTTATGACTTGTGCAATGCACACATCAGCATCCTCGCGCAAGATTTTCTATTAGTTAGACATATACGGAAAAGATTCTCGTGATTTATTCACGGTGTGTACTAAGCGCTCCGTTATCAATCTTATTTTAGCAGAGTAGAGGTATAAATAAAATTATCACATCCACGTAAGCACAATAGATGCTTCCACTGCAGTCACGGCATTTCACTTGGCACGCACTTTGCTATATACAGTATATACTTACCAGGGCCAACGTGTGTCGCCATCAATAACAAGAGGCCACCGTGCACACAATCGCTCGCTTGCAATTTCATAAAATTAACATACTATATATAGTAGTCTTAGAGCCAGTAACATGTAATTTGTGGGAAAATGTGTTTTTAATGTAAGTTTTAGCAGATGGCATTCAACAGCACCTGTCAAATCTTCCGAACCACGCCCACTTGTCCGGACCGAACATGCGTGGCTTTTCGAACAATGGCTGCCAAACCTTCCAAACCACGCCCGCCCGACCTTCCAAACCGAACACGCATGACCTTCCGAACCACGCCCACTTGTCCAGACCGAACACGCGTGGCTTTCCGAACAATGGCTGCCAAACCTTCCAAACCACGCCCGCCCGACCTTCCAAACCGAACACGCATGACCCTCCGAACCACTCCCGCTTGACTTTCCAGACCGACCACGCATGACCTTTTGAACCACACCCACCGACCTCCCGAACCATGCCCGCCCGACCTTCCGACCCGAACACGCATGACCTTTTGAACCACACCAACCCGACCTTCCTAACCAAACACGCACGACATGCCAAACCATGCCTGCCCAACCTTCCAAACCGAACACGCACGACCTTTTGAACCACACCCACCCAACCTCCCGAACCATGCCCACCCGACCTTCCGACCCGAACACGTGTGGTCTTCCGAACAATGCCTACCAGACCTTCCAAACCATGTCCACCCGACCTTCCTACCCAAACACGCATGACCTTTTCTGAACCACACCAGCCCGACCTCAACAATGATACCTGCACAAACTTTCAAACCACACCACTCCAGAGCAATGCCCACCCTCACCTCCAAACCCAGCCTGGATCACTTTTTGAGCAATGCCCACACTGCCCTCAAAGTCAAACCCACCCCACCTTCGAAACAATGGGTGCCTGACCTTTAAAGCCACACCCACCCGACCTTCAAAACAATGGTTGCACGGCGTTCTAAGCCACACCAACCCAACCTTTATAAGAATATGCGCCCATTACCTTTAGAACTACACCTGATTGATCTACTGATACACCACCATAACTGCCAAACCAATTCTAAAGAATTATATTATTAAAGGGTAATAGTGACATGTCACAGTTTGATAACATAGAGGATCAGTGTACAGGTATTTCAACTACAGTTAAACCTTGATTATCCGAACGAGACGGGCTGGGAGTATTTTGTTCGGATAACTGGTGCCAGTGTTTAAAATACACGGCCGGTTCAGCTCCGGTTCAGCGCATGGCGCTTGGCAACTGTTCACAGGTAAATTACGTCAGCAACTGTACCGACTGTTTCCAGGCAACGTTACGTCAAACGCGCGCCGCCTATCTAGCGTTCTACAGCGCTAAACAAAGAACAAGTGAACAATCAAATATCTTTTCTTGAATTATGAATAACACGAATGGATTGAAATATTTAATTAAATTATCTCAAAATAAACCTTCATCTCAGTGCAATATTGAAATAAGCTTGAATTCTTAATCACCTCTGAATAGTGGGTGCTCCAACGGGTCACGGGATCGTGTAGCTTATTAAATATTCACGGGACCTTGAGATCTTGTTCGGATAATCGGAAATTCGGTTAATTGATGTTCAGATAACCTAGGTTTGACTGTACAGGTGCTAGAGCCATAGGTAGTGTCTATACTATGTCAAGTATTCTAACACCATGCGGAACACCACCCTCACCTCTTACATTGAGATTAGCGTAACAGTAACAAAACACTGTATAAACACATTGATATTTTTTCACAACCAATAGTAAACACGATCATGCTTGTCTCGAAAAGAGTCGGCAAAATCAATTTGATAGATTCCAAATGTGTTTACACGTATTTCTAACCAGCTATCCGTCACTTACCTATACAATTAACCCTGAGCATTTCTATGAAATTTAGTCGCATTTACCCATCATGAGTAAAAATAAATGAGAGTCATTACAGTTGAACCTTTCAGCTAGGGCATTTCAGTTTTAGATGACACTACAGAACCTAAAAACAAAAGCAACGTTGCCCATAAAACTAATTACAAAATTCCACGTATTCATTAAAATAAAACTGGCCGTTCCTGTGGTGAATGCTCAGGTTTCTTCCATCCGAAATCTCTCGATATCACTCGATTGTACACCGACAACAACAGAAACAACGACAATGACATCTGACACCAATGCCTTACCACGCTAAGCCAGTTTGCCCTGTGTCAAATGGTGATCCACAATACCAATGTTGTTTCACAAACCAACACAGATAGGAGCGCAGTAACTGATGCGCAGTTGCCCGAAGGATGAGAGAGATTGTCATTGTCGCTGCGCGTGCTTTCTTAATTAAGGAAACTAGTGAGTTAGTACTGTACTAGCAAACATATACTAAGCTGGTTGAACGCTATGTCTAACTAACAATCAAACCTGCTGTCCTCACGTCTGTCAGTATGCCCGTAACCATGGAAACCGAACGTGGGCCCTTGTCAACGTCTTTCTCTCGGGCATGGGGTGGAGATGATTAGGAAAGACAAGGCTACGTGTGACAAACACGCTGGTGAGAGCCGTTAGTAACATGCAATTCTCGTATTAGTAAGAATAGGGACTATGCGAAACACCCATCTGATGCAGCAGAACTTAGGTGTCATATAAATCCATAAACTAGCCTTGAAGCTCCTCAGTTGTCCCCACTTGGGTTGAAGGTAAAAGCGCAATCCGTCCACTGCACCTTCAAGCATGCAGCCCCGGATCAGCAAGACCGTAAGCAGTACATAGGGAAATGTAGCCGTGAAATAGACAACCTAGAAAATAGAAACTGTTTGAATTCCATTCTCGCTGCAGATCTCAAGATTGCTTAGAGAATGGAAAGAAGGTACGTCTGCTCACATAATACCCATTGTCTGATGCCATTTCTATTTAGATTCGTTGTCTTCGTAATATATCCAATATTTACATACTGGTGAGAAAGCAATGAAAAATGATATTGTAAATGCTATATGTTAAGCTTTCTAAGTATGAGTTTCAATTATACGTATTATCTTATTTTAGAAAGTAGTTTTTTAATTAGGATTCGTAAAATTCTTTTTATAGATCCAAGGGCTCGTTCTTAAAAGAAGATATTTGACATCTAACGGTATTATTCACACTGCACTGTCCATTCCTAAAACAATACAGGCAACATTGTCTCACCCTGCCTGATGACTTTATACCCCTGCTAACGCAGACGAAGATGAGGACCCAGGCGATGAATAGACAAGCGAGCAGCTCTAATCTGACGCTGCCCATGTCCTCAATACCACTACTGATTTGTAGTACGTAACGTCTGAAGGAAATGGACCCAACTTCAATTCTCTTAGATCGCACGAGTAAACAAATGCTCAGTGACAATAATTGTCAATACACTTAAACAAGCACACATGTGACAAATCAAAGAAGATCAATTGTCAATTGTTAATCAATTATAACATTAATGATGGAGACACGCACTACAGTCGATTAGTCAATTATTATGTTTGATTGAATGTATCTTCAATACAAGTAAAAATAAAATATCAGACTCGTTATAAAAAATCCAGTACAAATCAAAAATAGAAAATCAAAGCGATTAGAACTGGTATGGGTGGACTGACGTAAAAATGTCTGATTCCACAATAACTTGCAGTCGCCACCCAAACTAATCAACTGAATTAAAAAGTGATTTAAACATTGATAGACAATTGACAGAATCATTAATTGATAAACCACATGAGGAATGTTGTCAACAATGTATAGAGAGAGGAAAAGGATAAACATATAGCCTCATACAAGTATCGACGTTTCCATGAGAAGTCGGACAATAACTGTGGAACTTTCAAACGTCATTATTCCGATTATATGCACACATACGTACATACAAAACAATTTGCTGGCTGCCATGACAACACCAGAGTTCTGTACCAGCTGAGAAAAAAGAGAAAGGCATTGATTTTCTCAGACCACAATGCACAATGATGCCTGATGCAATCGATGAATAATTCTCTCAGTGTGTTGGCGGATAGCAGCACCTCTGCATACAGAAAACTGAAGTAAATGTTTCCCAACGCGGGCACACAAGAATTGTTGCGACACTACATTCCTATTGCGCGCCATCACAGATTAAACACACCTACCCCTTAAACGCATCGCTGCGCATGGTCATATCAAAGTTGCATCATCATAACAGCGTCAAATTGTAACTGTGCTGTCTGATTCTATTCTTACATTGCACACACTTGGAACGATATATATCAGTTCAGCTTTGTATTGAAGCACAGCAGTCTTGTCAGACCAATTTTGACATGGCCACGCCAATGAATTACTAAGAGTGAGAGCAACACAATGTCAAATTTCAAAACGAATACACAGGTTAATCCTGTCGTATATGTAGTTCTGTCCTTGCAGGAGAAGAATCAATTCTCCTTTATGAACTACATATTCTTGGTGTAACAGTCTTACCAGACCTTCTCTGACATGGGAGAATCAAGTGAAATTAGCATCGAGCAGTCTATGATAAATAAATTGAATTCTTGACAGCAAGAACTCGCAATCCAATGTACAAATGAACTAGTACGTACCACCCAGCTATCAGTTAAAAGATAGGACTGCCCAATGCTACAAATGTTGCAAAATTTTACTTGATATAGAACTAATGTTTGTTACCTCCGCCAAGGGGTTGCCAGGAGGTTATGTTTTCACCGGCGTGTGTTTGTTCGGCGTGTGTTTGTGGGTTTGTTTGTGTACAGCCTAACTGAAAAAGTTATGAACGGATTGTCATAAAATTTTCAGGATAGGTCAGAAATGGGCTAACTTAGAATTGATTAGATTTTGGTGGTGATCCGAATCCAATTAATTAATTAATTAATAAAATTTTCAGGATAGGTCAGAAATGGGGTAACTTAGAATTGATTACATTTTGGTCGTGATCCGGATCCAAATAATTAATTAATTAATAAAATTTTCAGGATAGGTCAGAAATGGGGTAACTTAGAATTGATTACATTTTGGTCGTGATCCGGATCCAATTAATTAATAAAATTTTTCACAGTGATTGAGCTGCCTTGGCGGAGGTCTGCGCTCTCCGAGTGCTCTAGTTGTACATGTTTTAGTGGTGGGCATACATATACATGCCTGTGTACAAGCATACACATTTGCTCATCATCAAGATAAGAATGGAAGCCATCGTAAACCTAGAATAAAGTAATATTGTACAGTCAGGTATGTTATTCGTGGATTTGTGCGTGTGAGTGCATGAGTGTTACGGAAAAGCTACACCTATCAGGAGAAGGAAGGGAGAGTTTGTATAGGTGTAATTGTATTTAGAACGGTATTCCTGTGAGAATGAAGACCGGAAGAAGATGCATCTCAGCCTGGCAAGGTCGTAGAATACCTGCTCATGTATAAACATTCACGTTCATTAATACTGTTCACAGACCTATGCAACTTAAAATACATAGACCAGTATATGATACTGTCCTGTATCTGATACATAACTTCAACATTTTCAGCTTGCTCTATTCCGAATCTAATATATCGCAAAGACTGTTTATTAAAACAGTATCACAGTGCAGTCATACGTGATGGTATCGCACATTTCTAACGAGGAATTCGAGTGTACCGTGGCTCCACCTACAATGTTGAATGTGGACTTACAATAAGCAGTCTACTCTTTCTTGTTAACACAAAATTTCGTGTTACAAACATTTTCTCTGGAAAGCATTACTTCTAATGCGTAGTTTCCTGTACTGCGCTCCTGGCCCTTTCCTTGGGCCTTAGTAAGAATCACCAGACGCCACAATCAATAAAATTTCGAGTACTCAGTGAAATCTCAGATAATGCTCTAAACTCGAGCATGGCACGAAACCAGCTCATCTCCCCACGCCACGTTTCACCTCGAATCCTGCGCAAAACGCAGCGCATACCGTCTCGTCTGACCGCACCGCTGTGGAGCACTCACGTCCAGAACTCCTGGCTCGGTATGTTGACGTACGCCGACCGCGCCTCCGACACGTTCACGATGCTGCTGCTGCTGTTGTCGCCGCTCAGACTCTCGTAACCCGCATCGCCGCTGGCGTTACCAAGCTCGCGGCAGTCGGCCGTGTTCCAGGGATTGCCGCACGTTGCCCACGGCACGACGCTCTCCCGCACCGAAAGGTACATGTAGTAGAGTGTCCACGTGATGATGACATTGTAGTAGATGCAGACGATGCCGGAGACGATGACCATCCCATAGCCGAGTCCTAACGAAAGTATCAAGATAACGAACACAAGATTGTCATCTCCGACCATCGGCTAATCTTCAATATACAAATGGCGTTCATGTATTACCTTACATAATGCCTGTTTTTATGTTTACATGATGTCAAGAGTAGATACAAACAAACTTGTCTTTATTCACCCCTGATGATGTATTTATGAATTTTTCCTGAGATGTCGACCATTTTAAATCATATGGAAACGAGTGAAACCTGGTGAAAAGCCATATCAAAATAAACGAGTTGTCATAATAACGGAGTTGATTCTTGATATTATATGCTTATCTGCAACCTCCAAAACTGTGGTCGCGACTTAGGGTTTCTAGCTCAGATGGGAGAGACTCCCATATCGGTACTCTGTTTCTGTAGCTTGAAAAACCATAATTCTCACTAGAGTGTGTTCCAGAGTAATTTGTTTAGGTGTATCGTGTGTTGTGAAGGTGGGCAGTGAGGTATCCTGAGAAGGCAGGCAGGTAAGTACCTGCTTATAAATCTTACCATGAATAGGTCCATTTAAAATAAATAAATGACTTACATTTCTTAAGCGCCTGATAAGGGGAACCGCGCTGGTTTTTGGGTCACAGCCAGGGGTTTGTTATTCACTCTATAAATAGTTAATCATATCTATAAGGCTGAAAAGGGATGGGCTGGTATAGATTAGTTTTCTAACTGTGCATTGGCTATCACAATCCTATGAGCTAGACAGTGCTAGAGGGCCAGCTGACAGCCAGACGTCCCTGGAAGTGATAGGGCCATAATAAAAATATTGTTTGTTTGCCCTCACCCAACCGACCCGCCAAAAAAAGGCCGACTCAAACATTTTGATTGAGCTTTCAGATTATTTTTTTTTACAAATTGTATCACCAGTCCTCGCCAAAAGCGTCGGACCGTCGGACAAAACCGGTGATTTTTGCACTGGTCCGACAAGAAATTTGGCTTTACCAGACCGTGTCTCAGGTAACATTACACCAACTAATACGCAGAGGCGACGGGTACGTCAGTACCACACACTATGCCTAACCCTAATATCCCTGCCTATGGCTATCTTATATACGCGTGTACCAAATTAATCTATGGTGTGGGAAAGCGATAGGAAGAGATTGGCCGTTATATGATAAAAGATAAGAAAATGATGACATGCGACGTGTGTGTGAACTATCATGGGAAGTTTATATTACTATCACTGATTATACCTGGATCACACAACTGGACAAGGCCAAACGCCTAGAAATAGGTGAAACCTGCATTAATGACAAAGCTGGCATTATCGAATGCATTGCTGATTGTACGCGTCATGAAATGGATGGAAAAATAAACGATGCTAGCTTTTTCAGCTTTATCATGGACGGGTCAACAGACATAGCTGGTGATGAGCAGGAAAGCATATATGTTAGATATGTCCACAAAGGAAAAGCAACAGAGATGTGAATGTGTTTTAATGTTTCAATATTTGTTGCGCAGTCAACATATCATTCGTCCATGGTAAACTATTTTTTACTGGACCGAATGTCCAGTAAAGATTTGTCTTTTGGCGAGGACTCGTACACTGTATATTATATAAATCTGTAGGTAATTGAATACATTATATGTACCAAGCAAAACAAACATTCAACATAAAAGGTATCTCCACACAAGCACACCAGAGCATGTACACACCATCCTGAATTTGTAAAAAGACCCCCCTCAAAAAAAAGATTTAAGCCTACCTACCTACCCAAACTTTACAGCCTGGGTTGGGTGAGGGCAAACAAAGATTTTTTTAATTGTGGCCTAGGCTCCAAATTGCTCTAGAATGTAATCTGGGATATATATTGTCAGGAAAATAGAGAAAAACCACATTTGAACAAATTTTTAATGCCATAGAAGTTATATACTGTAACAATACACTATACAACAGTAATAGCTATGTAAGATTTGTGTCATTATTCGTATCACATTAACTAGCACCTATCGCCTAAAAATAGGCATAGGAACCCCGAGGGGGGGCACTCCATATATATAGAGTACCGAAGTGTGACGTCACGTTGGCAAGACAACGCCGCGGCGTGGTTCTACACAAGCCACTGGCTCCATAACGTTAACTGCGTGAAAATGTTGTGCTGACGTAAAACACGAGTGTGTGCGCTGCAGACAGCGGTAAAGCATCGGTAGCAAGTCGATCTTACAATATTTAATGAGTTAAAAAAAAAATTAAGGAAAAAAATAAAAAAAAATTTTAAATTTTGTTGTTGTTAATTTCCCCCCCCCCGTTGCTTTTCACTTCCATCCTTTGGAAATCTATAAAAACTGCAATAATGACTCTCAGAAGTGACTGGTACAATCGGTACAAAACACGACACGCAGTTAATGTTACCAGAGCATATGATTGTGTAAGAACCAGCAGGCTCGTTGTCAGCCACCGTGACGTCATCACTTCGTACTCTATTGCATAGTAGGTATGTGCGCGGGAGAAACCCCCATTTCACCCCTAAACTTCCATTCCATCTGCATCCATTTTAGAATATCTCGATCCAGCAGCAATCACAATTTGCAGGTACCATGCAGGATCTTACCTTTTCCCGTTCCGCGAAACCAAGTTCAACATTTTCGGGCTACTGTTCTTGCGATTCGGCCCCGGATATCCGTGCGCGCAAGCGCGCAACTGGTAACACACCTCACACCTCTGATTTCGCTGCACCTTCAACTCATCACCTTCACGGTTCTTTAACCACGGTTACATGATATAAACGCGAAGCCCAACCATACTTCCTGAATTGAGGAGTTCTGGCCATTGCACTACGGGTTTCACTACCTACCGGTAGTCAGGACATTTCCTAGCAAATGCTCCTAATTCGAAGTTCGCTAGCCGCGCCCTTCGGGTTTCGTGTAAAAACGCATGTTGAACTTTGTTGCTTTGTTTGTTTTCGTTGATCAGTGTACTCACATATGACGTGCGATAGACGGCGCACACGAACGCGAGGCTATAGGCATAGTAGACTGCGTACCCGTTTGGCCACCTTTATACTCCGGCAATTGTACACTCACGTAGTGGAGCGTGTGAAACTGTCAGACGGGGTACAGTCTCATCATGCACATGCATTCGATAGCATGGCGTCTATTTATTAACCAACTGGAAAAGTTTCTTATTGATCGTCGCCTTTGTATTCCCGGTTAATTTAATGACGAGCCGCAACTAATTTTTCATCGGAAGGTCATCTAATTAAAAGGGAAAGTCGAATTTCTGTTATGGCCAGACTAACGCACTATAATAAGTATGTTCACGTCGGCCCCCAAATGTCTTACCCCTCTGCTGTCCCCCACTAAAATTGGCTGGACTGTCGCTGGCGCCTAAATGATCCGTGCGCCGGCCAATGCACGGATCCATAGCTGCCAGCGCTGCATACTGTCGTAGGACGTTCCCGCGGTCGCGTGCGCCTTGCCGCGGAACTGCGCGCAAGATCTGCGCTTAGCGCTTAGGATCAACACCTCCTTTCGGCAACGCTTCTCTAGTATCCCGTCTCATCTGGTTTATTTATATCCGATGATGAACTGCGTGCGTGTTTTATTGCCGCTGTAAAATATGTGCATATTGCATATGTGCGCAACCCAATTTTCGAACATAGCCAGTTCCAGAGCATCCCACATTCAACAAACATTAGTTCCAGATCCCCCATTTTTGACTTCACAGTGGCACATACCTACCATAATGTAGGATGAGTGCCCCCCCCCTCCGGGATAGGAACGAAATGGATTAGATTTAAAATTACAGCAAATAAAAATATCTATATTTCTTGAGCAGGTTCATTCAATAACAGACCATTGATTTCAATTAATTAATACTCTAAACTGCACAGGTTTCGCATGTCAACCAACTGGTAGTTGTGCGTTAGAGAAAACCTACTACGCATAAATAATGAAGGAAACGTAGCTTTAACTGGAAACCAGACCATATCACGAATCTTGCTCCCCAACCACTGACCCAGAACTGTTCATTATTTAGGCTATATATTGTTGCCCACAGCCTGTGGCCTTCAGTTTTGTTGATGCTGACAATCTGGGTGAAACAGGGAAGGGCCTATAACATCAGGGAGGGGCTTGAAAGTTGTTTACGAATCTGTCAGTGTTCAACTCTAGTCAAAGATAAAAAATCATATCGACACTACGGAACAAACCTAATAAAAAAAGGCCCTAACCAGAGACGTGTGTAACGTAGTGGTTAATGTACTATTTGTGAGTGTTTAGGTAGAATAACTGGACAGGATGTTATAATATAACAGCTGTAAAACGTAAAAACAACTCGGAAAGGCAAGCTGTGCTTGTACATCAGACCTTAAAGGGATAGTAGACGCTAGGATTTTACTGCATACAACTGTACTTACCGTATAACAAATCGTCTATACCCACACGTATTTGTTACCAGATACCTAATTTAATTGTTATAATTAATTACACATCAACGCTACGAAATTTGAACGTTAAATTAATAAATAAGAAACACCCTCGGTCTGTAGCCCTTGGCTGAATAGTGGTTTTGCGCAACTTATCAGATCGTGCGCTTTGAGTGGCGCCACCGTCGTTGTAATTAAACTGTAGTCGTTAGTTTTAAAACATTTTTACTTCCGCCAGGGGCTTGGCGGAGGTTATGTTTTCACCGGCGTGTGTTCGAGTGTTGGTTTGTGGGTTTGTG